ATAATCTGAGAGCAGCGAGCACTCTGAGGTTGCCGCAACCACCGCAGCTCCGCAGCGCGGGAGGCGGAGAAGCGGACCGCATGGCATTGATGTAGGGAATTTCAACAATTACTTAAATTGAAAATTGATATTTTGTCAATTTTTGTGAGATTATATTGAAAATACATATTTTCGAATTTTGTTTCCTATTCAATCCGTACGTACGTATTATTTATTCTATCCTTATTGGAACCTTCTCCTTCTTTCGCAATTCCAAGACGCCCAATCATACAACACCCCCATTTCACCAAGAATCTCGAAAACAATGTCCAAAAGATAACGTTCACCCATTGTATTCAATGATTATATCCTAATAATTCGAATTTCGCGAGCAACGTTTTGATCAAGTAGTCAAACCCTCGCATTCACCGCGAAGATAACCTTGAATTACGATCTCAAGAAGTAAATGACTTCCTTTGTGTTCAACAAACCGCGGATGACATACATCAACGTCATACTTTACATTCATTCACTTATCACATGCAACATTTTTATTCCTAAGGCCCACGCCCCAAATACGAAACCCCTACAGAATACAGGCCCTGCTGTTCTCTTTGACACGTGAAGTACCGATTACTTATTCGCATATTTTGCGGCCAAAATGGAATTCCACACAAGGCTGAGCTCTCAAGCATGTTCTTCAGCTGGAAGCCGAGATATTTTGCAATAGGAAGCAATGAGAAAAGTTATTTGCGTTGACATTGACGCTTCTGTCGATTCGAGATAAAGCAAACTTCAGTCGCTGTCCAATAACCCCCAAAATTCAGGAGAGGGAGAGTTCCAACCGCACGCACGAAGCACTAAGAACACTCCCACACAAAGCCTGCGGCAAAACTGGCGGACACATGCAGTGAATTTCTCGGTCGAGTGCATGGGTGAAAGGGTACGTCATGACGCCTGCACTCTGAAGCGTTGCAAAATCTGCTGCCTCACCGCACTTCGCCAAGACCAGGTACATGAATTCTTGAGAGCTTGTAATTTTGATGGTGTGCCCACGGCAATGCCCAGATGGGCGGCTAGGAATTGCGCTCTGGCGCAATACTTGCAAACAGGATGGAGGCAAGAGGAAGGCCAAGGAAGTGAGACCACAAGAGCCACTTGGCATGTGACTCACATGGCGGCGTGAAGGGCACGTTTGGCATCGGATGGCTCAGCCGTCCTGCGCAAAGCTCAGAGCTTACTGACTGTCAACTGTCCCACCACACAGACCGCACCGACAAGAATGCCTAGTGCTGGACCCCGAGCTTGGCATCTGCGCCTGCCGAAGTCTGAGGCTGTTGGCCATCCGCCGCAGCAAACTTTTTCCGGCCCTTGGAGGTCCATCAAACTGAGCAAGTTGCCCCAAGAGCTTGTGATTAGAGTCCAGATTGCTGGGCTGAGGATGTGGGCACTGGTGCAAATGCGAGGATGCGGGCACTGGGTGCAAATGCTTCTGAGGGAGGGCAAGCGAGGTCGCTGTGAAAAATTCACCTGTAGTGTTTGCCCAGTTGGTGCCATGTGGTGTTTGACTGTGCAGAGAGAAGCATGAGAGTTTTTCTGCTGCATGACTTGGCATGAGCATGTTTGGTTTTGCCCAAAGTCCCGAAAGCACGTTTGGGTTGACTGCGACGCATGTCTTGTCTTGTTGGCATGGCCTAGGATGAGTTTTGAAGCACTTGGAATTGCTTGAGAGCAATAGTGAAGAAGTGCGTGTCAGAACTCTGAGGTTCTGTCTTGCTGCAACTCACTCCGTGTCCCCGCCACTTCGTTCGTTGCTGTTGGACGAGTAGGATGGGAGGTGGAGGAGACAGGATTAAAGGGAGGAGGAGTTGACAGGAGGCCTTGAGATAGGAAAGAATGGACGTGTAGGATGGGAGTAGGAGTGCAGAGTGGACTCTGAAGCTTCGCTGTTTTGCTGTTCGGAAGTGACCTGAAGTCCCCGAGGTGTAGACCAAAGCAGTTGCATTGTTCTTTTGCTTTACCTCCTTTGTAGAACAAAGTTGAGACGGAATTCGTAGCTTTTTGGAGCCCTTAGCTCTTGGAGAGAGCTTGCTGCAAGAACTGAAGCTTGCTGAACACTTTGGTGTTTGGCTCAAGTGCGAAGTGAAAAAGAGACAGCTGCGCGAGCTCTGCTTTTCACATGGTAGCGGAGCACTGAGAGTGACTCCAGCGCCTGTGTTAAGTACCTCCACGCCATGGCGACTCCAGAGCAAGGCGGAAGTGTGCATGGAAGCCCACAGGGTTCTCCGGTGCACGGGACGTTGCCTCCTGAGCAAGTCCCAGTCCCTGACAACACTCCCGAGGAGGAAGCCTTGCTGTTTGGAACCGGTGAGAATCCGGTAGGACAGCAGCCGAACCCCTTTGCTGCCTTTGGAACTCAAGGAGTTCCGACCTCAACGCCAGCGACGAGTTCACAGCCAGTTACCGCTCCAGGTGGTGGCGCTGTTGGAGAAAGTTTGGTGGTTGAGATGCTGCGAGTGATGCAGCAGCAGCAGAGACAGCAGGAAGCCATGATGGACCAGTACCGGAAGCAGTTGGAACAGAACCAACAGCTTGTGGCAACCATGCTTCGTCGCATGGACAGCGAAGAGAAGAGGAGGAACGATGCCGAACTTGCAGCTGCTGAGGCTAAAGCCAAGGCGGAAGCCGCAAAGGCATCTGCACCGAGTGACCCGTTCCTCGCTGCGACTTCGTCCACAGGAGGTTCCCTTCCTTCTTCAAGCCCTAAGGATACTGGAAGTTCATCTGGTGGATACGTTTCCAACCGTGCCGACAAGTACCTTCCACAGCTGCCTGTCATAGCCCACCAGGAGATGGGTAGAGACAGAATGCGAGAGATTGAGGCCTGGCACGGCTTCCTGGAGACGATGAGTTCATGGTTGGCTTTGCAAGACGAGGCCTATGTGAACGAGCTTCGCCTCTGCATCAGTGTCAAGGACGAGATCCGACAGGACCGTTTACCTCCTGACACTGCAGCTCGGTCAGCGAAGTTGTTTTACCTGCTTTCTCAGAGCTTGGCGAAGTGGGAGCGTGGTTTGGAGTTGCTTCGAAGCTGTAGCAAAAGGCAGAGCATGTCTGCTACTGGCTACGAGGCAGTTCGCACACTGCACCTCAACTACTCCATTGTGTCTCGAATGGAAGCCGTCTACGTGAGAGACGGTTGCATGAAGTTGCATGCCCAGTGTTCGGGGCTCAAGAAGCCCATGGACATCATCAGACACTTGGAGGACGAAATCGCCAAGGCGGAGATCAAGTTGAGCAACTTCCCCGAGTTGAAGCTCTCCGAAGCAGATCGCTGTTCCATCCTGCTACAGGCCGTTTCGCATCCGGCAAGACAGTACGTGGCGCTGCACGGCAACGCCAACAGCTGGAGTGAGCTCACGAAGAGCCTCAAGTATTTCGAAGAACAGCTGAGGATGTGCGACGTGCCGACTGCAGCAAACCGTGGCATGGACGGCAAGCTTTGCGACCATTGCGTCAAGCATGGTCATGTGGCAAAGGATTGCTGGTCACGACAGCGTGAGGCTGGTGAGAAAGGCGGCAAGGGCGGCAAAGGAGAGTCGAAGAGTGGAAAGGGCGCCGGTGGCCCCAAAGGACAGAGGTCCCCCACTCCGAAGGGAGCTCCTCGCTCTCCAACGCCGAAAGGAAAGCCCACCTCCAAGGGAGACAAGGGTACCAAAGGAAAGAAGGGCGAAGGCAAGGGCAAAGGAAAGAAGCAGAAAAAGAAGAACCGCGCTCGGGCTATGGGAGAACCAGAGTCCGAAGCGGAAGCAGAGCCAACACAGAGTGTGATGGCGATGCGCTTTGCCCAGCGAAGTCCTGAACTGAGCCTTTCTGAGTCGTCTGAGCGTAGGGTAGGTTTTTCACTCGACAAGCAACGATTGGGACGTGTTAGCAATTCGTTGACTGCAGGGGATGTAGAGCGCATCTGCGCCAGCTTCCAGCTAGAACCGAGGGACGTCTGGTTAGTGGATTCTGGAGCCACGTGTCATGTGGTTTCCTCGGAACACCTCAGCGGATTCAGGGTGGTGAAGACTCATGAGAGAGAGGTCACTCTGTACAACGCTTCAGGGGGGAAGATCCCCGTGTCAGGCGTCGTCGACTTAGAGGTCGTCTTCGGTGATTGTAGCCTTCTTTTGACGGAGGTTCTCGTTGCGGAAGTTACGTTTAACGCCATTAGTCCCTGGGCGGCGGTGGAGAAAGGCTGGAGAACGTATCTCTACAAAACCGGGTCTAGGTTGTACAAAGGCAAACGCAACGTGAAACTCGTATCCGCTAATCGGGCTTGGTGGGCTTTGAGCGGGGGTCGCCGCCAGAAAGCGGGGAAAGGTCGTTCTCCACGCCAGCCTTCGGGCTCGGACATGGAAATAGACGCGATTACCTGCCTGCAGGACTCTGTTGTTAAGCCACAGCCAGGACCGAGCATCCTCAAGAAAGCGACGACAGGAGGAAAGAAGGCGGAAGTCGAGAAGCCACAAGGAAGAGAGAGCGGTGATTGCCGGCATGCTTTGCTTGAGACTCCGTTTGCTTTCTTGTTGCGAGGGCTTAGAGCCGAAGTATCCCCGAAAGTGGTCCCTGAAGTTCCTCAAGAATGCACCGAAAACACCCCGATAGTGCCCGAGAACACCCTGAAAGTGCCCGAAATGCCCAAAGAAGTGCCCAAAGAACAGCCCAAACGAACCCCTCAACTCATTAGGAAGCCTGTTGAAAGGCCCGTGGCATGTTTTGCGGCATGTTTATTGGCATGTTTTGTGGCATGTTTATTGGCATGTGGTGCAGCATGTTTTTCGGCATGGTGTTTTGTGCATGAGGGTTTTATTTTAGAGAACGGCGTCTATACGCCATGCATTTTGGAAAGCGCTTTTTCGGCGCCCTCCCGTTTTGGACGGTTTGATCTCGAGACCGTGCCTGTTCCTGTAAGTGTTTTGAATGGGTGCGCATCTTGCAATGGGGCCTCTTGGGGGGCAATCCAGCGCTCCAAGGCGCTTTGCGGAGAGCCCGACGCCAGCCCGTTCTCCAACGGAAGAATTTTACCAAGAAGAGATGCGCGAGGCCGAGAATCAGGCCGAAGAGGTGGAGCGGATGGCAGCTGCAGAGGAGGAACAAAGAAGGGCTTTAAATGCCCCATTGGTTGCTCATGTTGCCACCGACGACGAGCCTCGGAGCGAGGAGCCACCGGTAGTCCTCGATGCTCTTCAAGTTGCTCGTATGGTTCCAGACAACGAGGAAGAGGGCTTCGAGGAGGAAAGCGAATCGGATGCTTCTCCGTTGACGCTGGAGGAACAGAGGGCTTTGATGGACGAGGCCATCACAAGGGCACGACGAATGTTGTGCGAGGTCTCTGTCTCTGTGGAGGCGGGGACGGAACCTCCTCCAAGTTTCAAGCCTCTGGAAACCGAGTCCTGGGGTACTTGGACCGCTGGGCCGACTCGAAAAGAGTTATTCCTGAAGTGGGAGGCCGCTATCTATGCAGATGCTGGGCAGTACGAGGTGTGGGAAAGTCACCACAGGATGGGCGAACCCATCCCTTTGTGTCGGGACTGCTTAGGGCACCCGATCAATATGCTCAGCAAGGTGGCCCACGACCCCGACTACCTTCCCAAGTACTGCACCGGTGGGGTTTTGCCGGCAATGGACTTGGAGCCGGATCAGGTCGAGTGTGTCCCGGTTTGCCCTGGATACGTTTCGATGAATTCGTGCTCGTGGGCCCATGGAATTATACCCCCGGAACGGTGCTACATCCTCCAAGAGCCCAAAGATCTGGAAAGATACTTTGGTCCAAAACGCTTCGCGGAGGTAGAAATCCTCACGACAGAGCTCTTGGATGCCCATTACAAGATTTTGGACGACCTCAACGAGGCCGAAAGTCTTCGAGGATTCGGTGTAACGGAGGGGATGGTGAACAAGGCCCTCGAAGAGGTGTCTTCTTCACTTACCAGTGGTGCCTCATTCCACCCTCATGTTCGGCCGAATTCCAATGTGCATACGCTCATTTACAAGTACCTACTTCGAGCAGCACGAGTGCTTCGTGTGCACAGCATTCACAGCCATCAGTACTACGACATCGAGGCTACCCTTTTGGAGCCACCAGATGGAGTACAAGGATGGCACGTGGATGTGTGTTGGGATCTTCTGGGTCGACAGCTTCGAAGCAGGGCCCTAGACGCGACCTGCGCCACCACAGCTCGAAGAAGATCCTACCTCGGAAGAGGAAGAGGACGTCGATTCGTCCATCCTCAAGGAATACACCGAGCTGGGGTGGTACGTGCAGAAGGTGCTCGAGGAAATTCGTGGTGGAAATTTGGCGCCATCTCCGAAGATCTACTTGGAAGGCCAAATGGTGAATGCCCCCTCGACTCATGGAGGTACACAGAGGCCGGCGGAACCACCTTCACCGGCAATGGTGCCACCGGAGCCGCCTTCACCATCGGGAGTTTTGGCTCCAACGGAACCACCATCACCCGCGGAATCCATGGTGCCACCTCTACCTCCACCAGTTCCTCGGTTCAAAATGCCTCAAAGGCCTCCACGTCCTTTGAGCGGAGAAGGGAACTATTCGGTGTGGGATCTCCTAAACACACCTGTGGAGCCTCCATCGCCAATGTCCCCGGTGCCCACGGAGGTATCGGATCGCGGCCGTTCCAGAAGCCCACGAAGGCTGCGACATTCGGATGTAGTAAGCGATGCAAGGGCCGCTATAAGCGAGGCCGAAGCCGCTCTTCGCTAAAAGCGAAAATGAGGCAATGCTCTTCCGTTGCGCCGCATCGTTGTTTTGCGCCCCGACAAGCAAAAAGAGAGCCGGCTCAGACACACAAGCAAGTAGGTCATTTTGAGTGGCATGAAAATTTGACATGTTGTGGCTTGAGCTTGGCATGTTTGACTTGTCGTGGCATGGAAACATTTTGGCTTGGAAACATTAGCCTTGAGGCCCCAGGAGTTAAAAGGCATCTAGTGGTAGGACCCCTAGGAGAAATTGGAGGTTCAAAGCCCCGAGTAAAAAGAACCTTGGTTGGGGTCGTTGTTTCGGGTCTTTGGAAATTGCTCGAAAAGTGTTTTCAGAGAGGCTCCAAGAGAGCACCTGAGATGAGTAAAATAAAGACCCGAAAAGGAGGAGGTTGGATTCGTATTCGCACCCGAAAATGCTTCAAGCGTGTTTGCGTAGAACGAATCTTGTTGGTTGGTAGAAAAAGCCCAAAAGCCCCAAATAAGGGAAAGCCCAAAACCTTAAAGTTGTTGGCTTGTTTGCGGCATGTTTGGCATGTTTTGGCATGGTGTCTTGACGTGGTATGCTGTGTGTTGAAGGGAAATGATGAGAAAGTGCCGGAAGGAGGCTTAAAGCAGCCATTGACTGGGCATCTGCGGATGCTCAGAGGGCTGCCCCTTCCAGGAAGTGGCACAGGCTCTGATCCCTTGATCTTGGATCGTGATGATGTTGAACCGTCGTCTTCGTTAAACCAACCGAATCGTTCCCCACAAAACCCGGAACAACCTCTTGAAGCCCCAATTCCACAAGGAGAGGAGATTGAAGAAAGGATCCCGTTGCGTAGCCACGCACTCCAGGTACATCGATCCCGAGGTCATTTTCCCTATGATGTGAACTGCGAAAGCTGCTGCTCTAGCAAAGGCAAAGTCCCAGCCAGGAGACTGAAGAGGCAGCTACAGAAGGAGAATCAAACCATTGGGGTCGATTTCTATTATTTTGGGAAACTGAGGGTTCTTCTTCTTGTACATGTTGCGTCCCGGTACTCAATGTCTATCCCCGCCATGGAACTACACGACCCGAACTTGTTATTCAATATCGATCGGTTTATCCGCGAAATTGGATTGCACCAGAAGACTTTAACGTTTCGGTGCGACAACGAACAGGGTCTGATATCCATGTGCGAGAGGGTCGCGGCGCAGAGGCGCGAGAACCCTACGATGGTAGATGTTGTGCCAGGATACCGTCCGCAGTCTAAAGGTGCTGTGGAAAGGCAGGTCTCTGCAATGAAGCAGGGATTTTGGTCGATATGGCTCGACCTAGAGGCGGAAGTAAAGCGTCGACGACCTGCTGAAGAAGGTGGTGCCGCTTGGCAGTTACCTTTAGGTGGAATGTTGTGGCAGACTTGTTTGCTGTATGCTGCACGCAGTTTCAACTTGTGGAGCTTTGACAGCAACAATAGTACCACGGCAATAGACAGGTTGCACGAGGAAATAGTCCAAAGGACTAGGACGCTTCCCTTCGGCTGTTCTGCGCAGGCTAAAGTTGGCGGTTCCAAACGACATCTAGAAAAGTTCCGGGGAGCCAAGACGGTTAGAGTGAGCTATCTGGGCCCCGTCCATCCTAGAGGTGGAGGTGTGTATGGAACTGTCATTGGAGGAGATGGAGAGATCGAGGTCTTTCCAGCGTGTCGTGGGATCTTTGAACGGGACGAACCCACGTACGACAGCCCAACGTTGGAGCTGTTAGCTAAAGCTAATCCTCTTGTGCTTGACACGCAGGACCCCGAAAAGCCTTTGCTGTTTGAACCGCCTGCAGAACCCATGGTTCCAAAAGAAGAAGAAATTGAAGCCCCAGAGGATGAAGAAATGCTTCCTGATTATGTCCCGGATTACGAGCCCACAGAAGTGGGATCTGAAGGTCATGAGGGGGTAGCAGGTGGCGATCTTCCTGAACCTGACATGGAGGACATGGAGATTGATTGGTTGACGGATCATTATCTTCAAAAGTTAGGTGAAGGACCTGACTGCCGCGCTGTGAGCAATCAAGCGGCGTCTTCCTTTGAGCTAAAGTTTGGAGGGAGTAGAATCTGTTGTCAGGTCCCCCAGCAAGCTGTGTCAGAGACCTCTGGTGAGCTGTTAGATCCCAAACTCCTCTATCTTTCCATGAAACTGGAACTAGAAGAATTGGAGTCTTTTAACGTAGGAGAAGTGGTGAGCGAGCGAGAAGCGTACAGACTTGCTAAGGAGAGCGGAAGAAGAGTTCTTTCGAGCCGTTGGGTCAATACGGTTAAGAAGCCTGGTCTTTACCGCTCTAGACTTGTGGTCCGCGATTTTGCCGCTATGGGCGGCACAACGCTCGCTGAGGGGATCTATTCTCCTACCACCAGCCTGGAAGGGCTGCGGCTACTACTTTCTGTTCTATGTAGAAAAGGGTCTGTGTTGTCCTGTGACGTGTCGGTAGCGTTTATGCACGCCGCTATTGCGCGGCCGGAGTTTGTGCAGCTTCCGAGTAACATAGGAAACGCAAAGACTGGCGAGAAGGTCTTCCTGAAACTGTTTCGTGCCATGAACGGGCTTCGAAGTGCCCCGCTTTCTTGGTACAAGGAGCTGTCGGCGTACTTGGGAAACCAAGGATTCCAGCAGATCTTGGACCCTACAATCTTCCGCAAGAAAACCAAGAATGGTTTGGTGATTGTCCTCTTTTACGTTGACGATCTGTTGATTTGGGCCGAGAACACCGCCGAAGCTCGAAAAGTGTTTGAAGACCTGAAGAAACGCTACAAGCTTAAGCTAACAGGTGAGCTCTTGGAAAGAAAACCAGGTGAGGTGTCTTTCTTGGGACGTAGGATCTTCCGGAAGAAGACCGGAGAGCCCTGCGTATACTTTGGCTTGGACGCTAAGTACCTGAGGTCTTGCTGTGAGGAGTACGGAATCACTAAGGTGGCGCCGAAGCTTCCACCATTAGAGCGGCGGTGTGCCGACCTCATCAAGAAAGGACAGGACACACCTCTTACGCCAGAGGCGCACGAGCGCTATAGGCGTACCTTGGGACGCTTAGCCTGGGCGTCGCTTTCAAGACCTGATTTGCAGTGTGTATGCGGTTTTCTAGGAAGACACCAGTCAGCCCCCAATGAAGCAGCCGAAGCTTGTATGAGGGATGTTCTGAGGTGGGTGTCTGGTTTACCGCATAAGGTCCAAGTGTTCCCCTCACGTAGAGAGCTTTTAGCCCCTGATGAGGACCGAGAGTCAGTGTCGTGTTTTGTTGACGCGTCTTGGGGTTTGAACTCTGTGAGTGGTGGAATTGTGACCTGGAACAACTGTTGCTTGAAGACGTTCAGTAGGAAACAGACGACCGTAGCTCTGTCATCGGCAGAAGCCGAGCTGGCAGCACTAACTGAAATCGCCAGAGAGGGATTGTATATATCTCTGTTGGTGCAGACGATGGTGGAGGGGATGCCTTCTGATTCGGAGGAAGGCCGATATCAGTTGCACGCGTACGGGGACTCTGAAAGCGCCCTGTCCATAGCGCAAATGAGTACCCTCCTTAGGAAAGTCCGCCACATAGAGTTGAGAGCTGCTTTTCTCCAACAACTAGTCGCTAAGGAAAGATTGACGCTGGAGTATATACCGGGGAAACTCAACCCCGCAGATGCTCTACCGAAATCCCCAACTGCGGAGAATTTGGTCAGTCTTTGTGAGGCAGCTGGCCTCATTACCGAGCCAGAATCGTGGTCGTCGATCTCCGAAGAAAACGTCGAAGAAGTAAGAAATGAGCCCAATATCACTGAGGAAGTATCTTCGAACGCAGTAAGGTCCTCTCCGCTGGAGGTTCCGAGCTCTTGGATGGAAGCCGCGACGGCAGTGGCTAGAGGGACAGTGTCGCTCGTCGTTCTGGAGCTTTGCTGCGAAGAGTCGAGTGCTAGAGCGAGAGCGTGTGCTCGAGAGAAAGGCATAGCGTACTTCGGAGTGACTCGGGAAATCAATCTTCTGAGTAGGAACACCTTTCTTGTTCTTGAAGAGATCTTAAGAGTCCTGAAGCAGGGAAAGGTCCGTGTCTTTGCGCATTTGTCTACGCTCTGCAGCTCAGGCTGCCCCTTGAGGTACCTGCGTTTCCGCAAGCGACGAGGTTTGGAACTTTGGCGGAAGACGCTAAAGATTCACAAGAGTTGCTGGAGACTTATAGGGAAGCTCTTCGGCCCCTATTCCTCGAACGAGGGTTTGCTGTTAACCCACGAATGGCCTGAAAGGTCCTCTTTGTGGAAGGAAACGGTATTTCTAGAAGTCTCTAAAAGCATTGGTCTGACGCAAGGATGTCTAGTAGATAGGTGCTGCTGAGTGCGTCTCTGAAGGAGTCTGGGACCTACCCGGAAGAGCTTGGAAAGGCTCTTGTCAGGATTGGAAAGAAGATCCTGAAGCAGGAGGAAAGAAAGGACTGAAGGGAACTACCCCAGAAGTGCAGAATTGGCCTCAGTCAATATGGAACGGTCTATGGGGATTGACCACCCCGCCGGTAGAGGGATAGCGGCCTCTGAGAATCGGAGGGCATGGATCACCTCCCGGAAAAGCCACAGGAAGTATGCCCTGTGCATGCAAGAGGCAGCCACCGTAACCAGAGTCCATGAAGCCTTGCACGGCGAAGCTGGTTGTAGAGGCCGGTTCGCTCCGGGCGGCCTCTACCCGGTTGATGAGTTGATCGAACAACTCGGCATCACCATCAACCAGTACAACCAGGCGGTCGCGCACGACGCCAACCAGCGGAAACCGAGGTTGGATACCTCGTACGCTGGCTACTTGCGTGCCTTCCAAGGCCACCCGGCCGATTGCGGCCATCCTATGGGATTCATGATGGAGGGCCTAAGTGAGACCGCCATCAACGATCTTATATATCGGCATGGCCCGGCCATGTGGCACGGCACGGACTTGCATGTCGTGCCGAGCCTGATCGAGAATGGCTTGGTCCCCGGCGGCGGGCCGG